AATGGATCAATACTTCGCTTGAAATGCGAATTTACATGTAGGTATTTTATCTTATGATAAGCCCTGTTGTTTTTTGTAAAACTAGAGAAAGTTTTCCTCTTACATATTTTTCCGTATAAGTTGTTAAAAGATGATCACACATGTATATTCGCAGATGAATTTATATTGTGGATCAATATTATAGGAAATTTTATATTATACAACAAATCAATCTAATGGCATTGCAAAACAGTTGATTTGATACAAAAAACCTTTTTCTCGTTTTCTTCTTTTCCCTTCTTCTTTTGAAATTATCGTGATACTCTTGTGTGTACGCAAAATACACATACTCACAACCTTTGTTCTGTTTTAATATTTTGATGTACAGGCTTCGAACGAACAGTATATCGTGATATAAAAGAAAATATCGATACTATAATTATTTATGACACTATGCAAATTGGATTATCTAATTAATCTAATACTAATTAATGTCGATAAAAATTATATAACTATAAAATTTCTATCAAAATTATTTTTGCATTCTATACCTTATACTATTTCTTTTAATAATTTAATTGCATCATATGACAAATTATTAAACAAATTATTAATCAGATAATATGATTTTATAAAATAAATAAACAAAGTTCTCTATATTTTCCGAGGACTAATTATTTTGCCGCTTCTCGGAAAATATAAAGGCAGTCCTTCGCACGTTTATATTTTAATTAATCTAGATGCAGCGGGATTTAATGATCAAAATTTATTGTAGAAGATCGAATTCTCACGATAAGTAATAAGAGTCCACAGAATTCACTGATTCATAGACGTAAATAATAGACATTTCGTTTGATTTTTTAGCAACGAATCATACTTTCTTTGATTAAAGGTTTCTAACTTCTTCGTTTTTTATTTTGAAACTTCTTGTTTTGAACTAAATGTGCAAAAATGTTCGGGAGATCAACAGGCGGGTTCTAAAACATTTAAATATCAGATAATAGAGACTAAAATACATTAAATATCAAATAATAAAGACTGAAATACGTTCATTATTTAAAACATATATATAAAATATTATATTTCTACTTTAATCATGTGAATTCAAATAAAAGATATAAGCGAAGTCTTATAACTCTATAAATTAATAATTAGCAGATCTTAATTTACTGCTTTTGCGAACTGTACTTGCATATAATTATTATCACAATGAAAAAAAATATGTATCAATATCTTTTTTCTTATAAGTTTTATAAATGTGGCAGTTTAGATGTGCACGTAAATGATTTCTCATGCATTATTATAAAATACGAAATTTATATAACGTAGCATATATTTAACTTATTCTTTTTGATTATTGCCAACACGTATTAGCGCATTTAACGGTTCGAAATATGTATTGTTTTAAATTTCTCACACAAAGCCTTAAATATATACTGATGAGTTTCATTATTAAAATAGTATATATTATTATTGAAAAATAAGAGTAAGACCGAAAATTATTTATAACTAACGATAACTGAGAACGTGTTCAACGTGATTCGATGCTCGACATATCATTCATCATTAAATCTAATCTGTCTTTTTAAAAGTATGTAAATTTGCGCTGGCTTGTTGCTCTCGACCTAATTTTCTTCCATTAACTACAAGTACAATCGGTGTTTCAACGCGTATAGATTTGTAATCAAAATCCTAAAAAAGAATGAAGGAGAAATGTATTATTATAAGTTTGACAAGATTCGATTCGTATCGTAAAATATGTACACACTGTGCACAACACTTACATTATTCATATAGGAAAATTTTTGATGTATAACGAAAGGTTCTGGTATACCAACAGAATCCCCGACCGTAACTCCACGACCTTTAGCTAGATTATATACAGTAACAACAACACAAGTTTTTTGTTCGTCCACGAGACAAAAAGCACTGAAAAAAAGTAATTATACATCTTTAACAAGTTAATGTCCAGCAGAAAAATTTTTGTTACATAGAAAGTAGATAAACTTACAAAGGAACGCAATCCGAATCCTGAATCCAACAAACTACTTTTCCAAATACGACTTTTTCCACGTTCAATCCAAGAGTTAATTCTTGTAACGGAATTAAATCTAACTTTATAGACTTTCCCCCGTATGTATATGCTCCATCTTTGTATGGTCCTAAGTGTTTAATATCCAATGCCTACATTTAATCATAAACCTATAAATATGTATATTGTGCCAAAATCACATGTTATACTATCATATGTATTAATAACATGTATTAATATATCTAGCTGTTAACTATCTATTATTATTAATTTCTATGATATAAATACCCGTATTAACTGATATAATCGTTTTGGTTTTACATAACCATTATTATTAATTGAATTTTGTATATCTTTAAGATATTGTAATAATTCATCACGTTTGTTGCGCGGTGTTTCCCACAATGGATCGAGTGCCATTGCATTTTCAAATGATTGTAACGCTAAGTTATATTCTTCTTGATATTTTAGAGCCTAAAATGAATTTGCAAATTAAAAGGAGTTTCAAGCAGAAAAGAAATATTAAAATAAACATTACAGAAACGTATTCATACTTACTACCGCTTTATTATAAAACAAATCAGGATTACTTCTTGCAATAATATCTTTTTCCTAAAAAAATTAAGGCTTTAATATATAAAGACAAAATTGTACATTTGCAATAACATGTTTATATAAAAAACAAGTATTCGTCATCCATCATAGTCTTACCGCTTGCATATATGCTGACATGCATGAACGTAACGTACTCGGACTTTGTGCTACAGTGAAGAAGGAAGACAGGTAGGCATTCCCTAATATGGCCCAAGAGATTCCGTCAGTTGTGTCAAGGCTTACAGCCTCCTTAGCATGTTCCACTCCTTGCTGAATATTTTTTATTCGCTCTTCAAAGGATGATGTTTGCTCCTGTCTAAGCACCATCGACAGATTTCGTAAAGATGCTTTATTCCTGTCCTAAAAAAAGAAATGAAATATGCCATATATATGTAACACAATAATTTATTGTTTAAAAAATTTTTTCTTTCAACTAATCAAAGCTGTGTTAAATAAAGTAAGAAAGAAATATACATGTTGCAGAGCGCCAACAAAACAATTTTTTGCTTGTTTTATGTCATCATTCTTCCAATAACATTCTCCCAGCTCATTCCAAGCTTCTATTAATTTAGGTTCTAATTTCACTGCTTTACTCAAAAGTTCTTCTGCCTGAGGAATGAAACGGTCCACTACGTTTAGAGCTCTTCCCTTTAAATAATAATACTTTGCACGTGAACCATCAATCTCATATCCTTTACATTCATCAAACTTGCTCAGCGTATCTTTCATTTCCTTCTCCACGTCAATATTTTTTTTAATTGCTTTATCGATAGAATGCGTCTCAAAATAACAATCTCGAAAGAGATACAAAGCTTTTACTCTTTCCTGGAATTGATAGCAGTCAGTAGGTAAAAATAATAATACTTAAATGTGACATATCAATACAAATTAAAGAAAAAGGAAGGAAAAAACAATGTATAGGAAAGATTTAATTTATTTTACGTACCGTTAATGCTACAATTGGATCTTCCTTGACAGTATTTGAACTCTTTGCACCTGCGACAACTTTGTCATCTATAATTGCGGACATTTTCACGAGTTATATTACAAAGCGCAACAAATAAACATTACTTTATTGTGCGTTACACGCCTTTTAGGCGAAAAATCTTATTCATAATTCGATCGGAATCATACAAGCTCGTTTGTAGCGCGGGAGTAATCATTTGCGAACTGTCAAAACAAAGATGTACAGGTTATAGAGTTCATGAATGGAGCGTGTAGTTTGGAGTAATATGGAGTAATACTACACTCAAGGACGTTTTCAAGGTCTTTTACGGAAGCGACAACAACGCCACTTACGGCAAATAAACGTATTAAAGTGGACTTCTACACAAATGGCGGTTTGAAATGAATATTGTCTCGCTAGTGGGCTTATTGAGAACGAATACAAAATTTTTGGATCAGAAAATGAATTTTGCCAAATTTATTAAACATATCTTGAACTACTTTCCTTTTTTTATCATTTCAAAAATATAAAAAGTCTAATTTTGTTACGAATCTCAAGGAATGAAGGATAAATTAAAGTTATCTAAATAACTATGTCAATTTCAATAAAATTTATGACATTATTCGTATTATAAAATGTCAAAGAACAAACGATTTTATTGAGATTTTACAATTTCTTAACATTAAATTAATTATTAATGTTTAAAATTAAATATTAATATTAACAAAGCGTTTTTTTGTGAGCAGCATATTACGAGCTATTTATAAATCAGCTGTAGTTGTAAGACATTTATGTTTTTTTTTTTAGGAGAATAGAAAAAAAAGGAATTTATTTTAGAGATGCATACAAAATAATTTTACATAAATTAATGGAAAGATTATAATGTAATAAGAGAACGCAAGTTTATTCTTTTCTTGTTGTTGATTATGTTGATTAATTTTTTGTATATAATTTATATTATTACAGTAGTGTAGAAACGAACATATAAAAATATTATTTCTAAATTTTGTCAACATTTTTTTATATTATGTACATACATCAAGAGTAAATATTTAAAAGATTTATTATAAAATATTTATGACGTTAATCAGCCAGATGTATAAATAAGCAATTTTTTAAATAATTTTTAAAAGAATTTTTATACATATCCTAAAAAAATCCCTTAATTCGAAATTTATTTAAACTATTTTTTATTGCATGATATGACAATTAAATATCTCTGTAGAAAAACGTTTTTAGTATTATAAAACTTATCTAAAATTTACAGTAATTAGTACGTTATTTATTTAAACATTGAATGAAGCGATAAATATACTATATAACATTTTTAATATAAGAATCATTACTTCTATTTATTAAATAGAAATTTTTTAATAATATTAGTCTCATATTACTATTTTGATCGGTTCTCTATTAAAATATTGCATTTGATAAATATATATTTGGCGTTTGCAATGTTTTGCAATTATTATCTTAACAAATATAAAGTAGATCGATAAAGTGATACACACATATAAATGACGCTACGGTTACAAAATATACTCTTGATACAAAATATACATATATATATAAACGCGGTAGTACAAAGTTATACAAATATAATCTCGTAATATCACCTCTGTCATACGTTTTTCCATCTTTTCATTATCACGTACAAAACAAGCAAAAGTTTTCCACTACGCTTTTATCTTAATTCAAATAACGTGGAGAAATAGGACGGATGTATTGTCCGCTGAAAGGATTTATTTTCAAAATACTTTTGCACTCTCAGCTTGTTAACTCTTTATTTAATTATTCGGTAAAGATGTGCCGTCTGTTGTGACGAACGTGTCGCCGTCGTTTTGTGCACGTGGCGCAACACTTTTCTCGTACGATCGATGATACATCACACATGCGTCTGTAGTTTGCACACGATGGAACCACCCTATCCTTGCAATCTGAAAAATATAAGATACGAAAATCTATACGCGGTCACATGACAAATATGAGAAAAAATTCTTTTCAAGCTTATTTAATTGTATTCGCGACACAACTAGAATTTATTTATTATATTTTTTTTAACTTTATAAATATATGTATAAATATTACATTCACTCATAAAAATATCAATACAGTAACACGATTTGCAAGCGACTATAGTTATGTTACGAGCATAATGAAGTAAATAAGTTAAAAAAAATTTTTCCTTGTATTATAAAGAAATATCTAATATGATAAATGAAAAAATCAATTGATATGAATATTTGATATGTAAACTTCTACGACCCATTTAGGCCGCATTGTATATGCTAATGATATTTGTTTTTACGGGTTAAAGTACTTTATAATGAGTATTTATCAAACACGCGAGCGTGTGTTAGGTGCATCACATACGCAAATCGAGCGACATCGCGTATGATCTCATAAAGCAAGTCGTTACGAACCGCGGTTTCCTCGTATAAATTCTAGTTTCCTGACGCCTTTGGACAAGAGCATATTCCGCAAGTTTGGACAAGCCAAACCATCTGTAACGTAACTAGCATAACTTAGCATTACATGCGGCTACGCGTTCTAATTCTCTCTGTTATAACTCTGCTAGATTACCTTGAACTTCCATTCAACATCAATTATATGGCGCGACAAAATATGAGAAGAAAAGAAAAGAAGAAAAGGTGAACTTAACACCCTCTTTAAAATTACACGTAACTTTTAAATATCGTGTAGAAAGAAATGAATTATTAAAATTGTACGACAATAGCAAAGTCTTTCACAAAGACGCCTGCAAATAATATTGAAAATGTTTTTTAAAAGAGAGAGATTATCGTTTGTTTTTAAAATATCTTTTGTCGAGATCTCTCAAAAACGTTCTTTATATACATATTGTTGATATATACCGTAGTTACTTTAAAATAGTTTCTTTCGCATAAAAGCATTTTATGAAAGACGCGCGGAAAGCTTTCGAGAGTACATTTTAATTGTGCGAATGAAATTACCATTTTTCTCGTTGGCACATTGCCGTCGGTAATAACAACGCTTTATATCAAATGGTCTTCTGTCGAGATTGCAATCGTTTGACAACAAGTCCGACGCGCGATCACGGCACTGTACTTCTCTGTGTTTAACTCCAGACTTCACGAGGCAAGTCGCGTTGCAACTTCCCCAATTTCCTAGAATTGTAATTAATAAACTGTCACGTAATAATGTTTATAAATATATAACATATTTAGCGAAAGTTCATCTCTACCATTTAAAAATGATCATATTTTCTATCTTATTTTATGTTTTTTGTCTATTATAATATTTTTCAATGAACATTTTACGAAACACGAATATGCTTTATATATTAGGAGCAGACTTTCAAAATGCGTTTTGCCCAAAATATTGGTAATTTTCAGAAAACGAGAAAGAAAAAACTACGCATACGAGAAAATTACGCGCTTTATAGAAAATAACAATCAATAAGATGTGAAATATTAAATAAAATTGCTATACAATTGCTAAAAATGTTAAACAAATGCATTTTGTTTGTTTCTAGTTAAGAAATATGATGCACTTCGAAATATCTGTGTTTTTTAGCATATAAATTAACGATGAAGAAATGCTTTCTGAACATCTCAGAGTAGCTTATAATATGAGTCTTTCAACATTGAACACTATGCTATCTTTAACTAAAAAAAATGAAATTTTGGACAAAACGCATTTTGAAAGTCTGCTGCTCATATACGCGTTTTATAATATTATCAAATAGTAAAATTTTGTAAAATTAATTTTTATCCAATTATAAAATTTTATAAAATTTTTTTTTTATAGTTTCAGTTGAAGAGAAAAAAGAAAAATTTCTAATTATAAGAAAAATAAATATTTCACTATAATATTGTATTATGTATAATAAATCGATACAAAGTATTAATTGATAATTTACCGGTAATCCATTTTCCACTGTAGCAGTCCTCAATACTGGGCGGCTTGTTATTCGGATTACAATCGCCTGGAACGGAGCAGGTGACCTTTCTACTCCTCTTACCATTCGAACAATGGCTCCACTTCGATACTGTCCACTTTGACTTGGTGTTGTACATGGAATTGTCTGGGTTCTCGTCAACAACATTGTCGAACTCGAGGATCTCTGGTTCCTCGGTGGTGAGGCCGTCGACTATCGTAATACCGTCCTGCTCGTTCAGGCTGATGTTGTAGAATGACATGTCCTTGTTGTCGGCATACACGATCAACGGTACCTCCGAAGTGGGCCCACACGGCGGTAGATCAGGGCACGGCTCCATTTCTTCGGGCCGCATATGCTTGTCGCAGTCGCGATCGGGCAAAGCCAGGTCTGATCGATCAGTACCCATGCCAGAGAACACACACATCACCGATCTCTTGCGTAGTGCACCATCACCACATGTGACAGGGCACATTTGCCATGGACCTACCCACCATCTGAAACATTGAAAAAGCCACAAGTGCAAACATTTCTTAAAAAAGACATCTTTGTTGTATCTTGATATCAAAAAGTATTTTTATCATTTCGTATTTCTTCAAATTCTCTAACAATTTGTAACATAAACGTGAAGCTAATAGTTTCAATCGTAGAGCGAGAATGCATAAAAGATGCCATTGAAAATCGAATGGAGCTTTATCCAACCGCTTTGAATTTATTTTCGTTTACGAGGCAATGGTATTTCTCGAAGTTTGTTGTTACAATCGTTTTATCGGATTTGAAGTTGGCTTACCTCGCTGGGCATGGATTCGAATTGCATTCACGCGACTTCTGCTCTGGCTTTTCTATACCGTCGCAGAAGAGGTCCTCGACGATGCCGCTTTTTCTTTCGTGACAGACCGCATGTGAAGTTTGAGTGCCGCCACCGCAAGTGACTGTGCAGAGGGTCCAATCGGAGAATACCCACGAATATTCCGGGGCGCGATCAGGCTCTTTTTTCGGTACGGTATATTCATAACGTAATCCGAAATTACGATATTGACCTCTGTAAATTAACTGAAATAATGAAGATAGATTACTCAGGATGATAAATGAAAAAATGAAACGGTTGAAGTTTATCGACTCGCAAACTAAGTCGACATCAATTAAAAATAACATAATATTAATAATTATATAATTATTATGTAAGACCATATATTACATTACACTTATAATGCTGAATGCAAAATTATAATATTAATGCTATGTTAATTTTAATTTGTGTCGACTTAGACTTAGACTACATGTATAGATATACGATAAAAGTACAATTACGAAAATTTACAAAATAAATATGAAATTATTTCAATCTTTGGTTATTAAACAATTATTGCGTTTTAAGCAATTTATATTGTCAGAATGTACTCACATAGACTGCGATATCCTCTTTAATAGGTCCTGGGATTCTGATCTTCTCTCTGTCTCGATCACGTTCGTAGAGAGCTGGCGTCCCGGCGACTTCATACTCGCCCGCTAAAGTGATCTGCCTGTCCGATCAGAATCTTAGTTTAAGTGTTTCGTCACGTTATACATTTCACGGAAGTTCGTTTCATCAAAATCTAAACTACGGTACATAAATTTTTGTATCGCTTCATAAAAATATACATAGGTATATACAACTTAAGTGTGAGACCTTTCAATTTTTTTTATTATAGTAGCCATATATGTAAGTTAGCTTTAGATTTTATTTCGCAATTAGTTACTCGCGATAGTTACTCCATAATTTATAATTTGTCGGTTGATAAGATATACGCACCGTTTTCCATTCAGGAAATACTTGTCAGAATTCGGCACGCCAATGCCAATATAATTCTTACTATTCCCGACCTCCTCGATTTTAATATTTCGAGAGCCGGAAGGTATGATAATGACTTCCTTATATCCGGGACCTTCGTTTTTGTCGTAAACGCCATTAGTAGTCTCGCATTGAGTACCGTCACCGTGACAAATACCGCAGCGGTCTTCCGTAGCATCGGAATCCACCGTCCAATCACAACCGACTTTCTATAAAAATTGAAGTTATTTAATCTTTAAAGCTTTTTTTTTTATAAAAAATCGAAAACTATATTTTTAACTTCTAAAATTCTGTTGCAGACGTAATTCTTTTGAAGAACACTGACCCTGCATATGCCAGCGATGCACATGTCCCTGGTACCAACGTTGCATGGAGTACCATCGAGAGCAGCCTCTCCCCAAGGTACGATTACGCTTTCATCTGTATCGGTGCAATAAAGCTCGCAAGGTTCCGCTAAATGGGACGATGCAAATCAAATCTCGCGTCGTAATTAGTGTTTAAACCGCTGAATCATTAATAAGACGCAATTTTGGAAAACCATGGAGTACGGAAATTATATACAGATTATTTCAGGATATCTGGGACAAACTTCAGAGAATGATAGATTTCAGTAAAATAACTTTTATTTAAAAATCTGTATCCTCTCCGATGCATTTTTAACGAGTGTCCTTGTTCGAATCAGTTGTAAGATACGCAATCGATCGTGCGGCAACATTGCGCGTGACGTCTGAAAATTCTAGTTCACGTTTTTACTTTTTCTCTTGTCTTTTTGCAAAAACACGATCAAAGAATATGAATGAGTATTGTTGAACGTCACGCGCGACTGGACGCATAACTCTTAAAAATATGTCGGTGGATACAGGTTTAAAAAGAGTTGATTTTTCTTTTATACATGAAGAGAATAATTTTGTTAAAAAATTTAAAATTTCCTAGATACAGACCTGAAATAATTCTGTTGAACTATCAAAATAATTTTGTTGGAAACTCTAATTGATTGCTAGAATGTCAACATTTTTTGCAACATTGCTTATCATTTTTTAGTTTTTAACATAATTATTTTGATGGTTTAATAAAATTATTTTCATATTATTTCCAGTAAAATTTTAAATCTTTCAGCAAAATCACTTTTTGTGTGTGAGTTCTATCGGTCCCTGAAGCCTATCCCAGAGAGCCTGAAACACTGTTATAGTACGCGATCGCAGAGAAGCGTTTCACGTGTCACATAATGCTTAAAGGTTCACTTACTTTGATCAAAATATGGCAGCCAAGTATAGTTCTTTCCCTTATACTCTTTGTCGTCGTAGTTGCTGCATTGCACGGCGCGGAAACTCGGCGTGCCTTCCGGACAAGGTTGCGTGTTACATATTTTATAGCGGCGTCTCTCACCTATGCAGAACTTTCCGCCGTATGCGGGCTCCGGATGATCGCACTTCCTCTCGACAATCGAGACCCCGGCGCCGCAAGTTCTCGAGCACTCGCTCCATGACCCCCACTCACCCCAACCGCCGTCGATTTGCCGCGGTCGATCGACGATGGGCACGCATTCCTGATTTTGACACCACTACGCAAAGAGCGACATAAACCACTAGATTAGAAAATTCAATATCTTCACTGAACACATTCTCTTGGATAAATCTAATTAACCTGAAATGAGTAACCCTTTAATTATGTAAACGATCACCTTTGGAGATGTTTTTACTCCCTAACTATAATCATTATTATTAACAATATTAATGTATATTGTTGATTGTTTTTCGCTTTAGTACTATTTAAGAACATAGAGATGAATTTCACGACTTTAAAAAAGAAAGTAGATAGAAACCAAACAAAATGAGCACTTTAAGTAGTTTATGAGAGTATTTCTAAAAAAAATAAAGATTTTAATATAACGCTTTTTTTGTTGATGGTTCTCGATGAAATTGCATATTTTAAGATTCGTAAAAAACAATTACTATTGTAAAAAAAGATATATTAAACAGTATCCATACAAAATAATATCTATAACAATTGCTCGTCACTCACTCGAGTATAAAAACATCTCGGATAATTATTCATGGGTTAATGGTATATATTTTATAAAAAATTGTCTTATAAAAGCAATTTACTATTTTAAGAGAAATTCTCGTTGTATACCATATGTTTTCCACAATTTGTTCCTGGAGCTGCCGGATGTAGCATAGTAGTGCAGGAGCCGTCCACGATGCACCATAGTTTCGAGCAGATCTGTAATCATAAATGCCGCAGTCATTTAAATCGGGTTGATCCTAGTTGGATTCAGACTGGCCATTTACCATCTTTATGGTCTTTGCTTACTTCCTGTAAAGGGGAGCAGACAAAAGCTTCTCTCACGCCAAACTGGAGTCTGCATTGGTGCTCAGCATTATACATTGCACCGGGTGGCAAATCCGGATATGCGTAATCGTTATCCGCCGGTTCGTCTTCCAAACAATCGCCTTTTCCTTGGCTGGAATTCGAGGATTCATATATATATACATGTTACACTTTTTATTTATATGTAAAAAAAATAAGCATATTATAAATTCCTGAATTAATTGAATTTATCAAACGTTTTTTATTTACTCCAAAAAATTCGTGATGTCTCTTCTAGAGCATCTAGACCACGCCACTCCAACAGCATCCACTTCAAAGGTCGGCGTCATCACATGCAGAGTGTCACCTTCACGTTTACTGCAGCCAATTTTTTCCGTGTCATGGTACATTCCAAAGCTGAACAGAATATGCGGTAGAACATTGAAAATTGTATAGACACATATTTTTTCAAATATTATTATCATGCCTTTATTTTGCACGTGAATAATATTTGACTTGATATTTTATATTTTAAAATAAAGTCTCTTTTCCGGTTCTTCTTTCGATTTTGCTTACTTATGCCCCAATTCGTGTGTGATTGTATGCGCCAACGTGATTCCATTGTCCTCGTTGACGCTGCAGCTGCGATCCGGTTGACACATGCCAGCGACGTGAGCCACTCCCAATGTACTGCAAGGAGTATTCGCACGTGAACAAATGTCCTCTCTCGTCACCAGGATCGCCACGTCGTGATGATTCGGGTGCGAATCATTGCTCGGATTTAGTTTCTGCTGCCATTTGCAGAAATTGTATAAGGTCTTATCCGCGTTCACCGTGATGTCCAGTCTTTGCTGGGACAGAAACGGTTCATCTCAAGTAATCGTTCTATCTATCGATCGAAATGCGCGAACGTACATAACATTACATATTTAACATCGCGTAATTGATCTAAAAGCGACTTTGAACGTGCAGTAAATACCTCCGGGTCTTCTTCTTCGAGGAGAATAATTCTGACCACCACAATGTTGATGAAATTGCCGATGGTTGGATCAAGGTAAAGCGCGGACACCATGTTCATAATAGTTAGGAGATAGATTTCCACATCGCCATCCTGGTGAAAAGCCATCATCGTCGTGTCAGCGACGACAAGAGCCTCGACATGACGCGGTGTACTGATCGATCTTTTGGAACGATGCCACCGCTTCGCTTGATAATGTTTCCTTCGCCCACGGCCTTGAACTTGGACGAGGCCTGGTTGAGTTTGCCATTCGAGCCGCGTTTCTGTCAATCGACGCGGTTCTGTCGGATATTTCACGTGCTGTCATGATCAATGTAGTAGCTAATTTCTATTTCTTAGTGACTGTGCTTTTACCGTTAATTTAAACAATAAGAACAAAAAGAATCTTACTGGACCGTACATTTGAAAATTCAATAATAAGAAATAAAAGTAATGGCCATAATGGTCAAAGCTAGATCTTTTCAATGTTTAAATAATTCAATCTGAATTATTATTTAAATTGAACTACTCTAGTAATATCACGAATTAAATTGACAAGAAATTTTAATAATTTCATGCTCAATTAGACATCCTATTAGAAAGGCATTAATATGCTGAAAAACTGTAAATAAATTTAGTATTTTAATTGCGTTTATAAGTCTGAAAAATCGATTCGGCGCGTAGTTCGAATAACTAAAAATATGGTATATGTACATGCATGTACATATAGTATAATATATAGTAATTCAAATTAAATTATTTAAGCATCAAAAATCTAGCTAGAGCGTTATGGCCATTACTTTTATTTCTTATTATTGAATCGTTAATTTACTTGTATCGTGACCTTAATAATTTTAAATTATTTGTTAAAAAGGTACGAATACTGTGTGTGCTTTTATTTATGTTAATTTACTTATGGTGTAAATTAATTTTAAATGTTTCTAGAAATATACGAATACTCGTGATTCTTATCAATCGAGCGAGAAAGTAGCTACCATATCATGGAACACTTTAATGCTGCGATTGATTTACGTGCTGTGTGTTGTTACCATTAATTTACTTGTGGCACTAATAATTTTAAATGTTGTTAGAATTGTATGAATACTCATAATTCTTGTCAACTGATGGAGCGAAAAAGTAGCTACCATAGCATTGAACGTTTCAATATTGCAATTGATTTACGTACTGTGTGTTTGTATCATTAATTTACTAATGGTTCTAATAATTTTAAATGTTGCTAAAAATGTACGAATACTCTTAATCCTTATCAATCGATCGAGCAAGAAAATAGCTACCATATCATGAAACATTTTAATACTGCGGTTGATTTATGTAGGTTGGTAGATCATAAGTCTACAATTAAGATTTTATGTGATCCGCCCGATAGCTCGGCCGGCTTGCCGAAATGGATACACATTGTAGTTAATTACGGGTTTGCAGCGAATTGGATTATTCCCTCGTGGGTAGTGCGTTTTGCCCTACAGAGAGAGACGTATCAACTGTACGATCTTACTTCTCTATATATCGACACGCTCATGTTTAATCCGTCGAAATATAGAACCGCCAGAAAGGGTGGCTAGGTCGTAAAATTGAAGTTGTGCCAAAGATTACGTGAAAGCAGTAATTTCGGGTTTTGTACGGTGGTCGAATCAGATTTGGCAAATCGACTTAATTCTCACTATCGTTCGAATGATCGCGTAGATCGGTGGATCGTTGAAAGTTTCGTGCAAATGTTTCGCCCATATCGGGAAACCTTACATATCGAGTTGGAAAGTTATCATTGTAGCCGCAAGACATACCAGAAAGGTACGTTTATTAGAATCGATTCTAATATACCGTTATGAATTTCAATATTCTCGCACGAGACGAGAAGTAAACTCTTTACACACCCTTTCTTTCGCCCACCCTGCGCCTTCCTCCCCGCATGGATATTATCGTCAGTGGAAAAATAAAGGAGAGACAAGGCGGCGATGACACGCCCACGTTCCGTACCACAGCGCGTCCAATTACATTATACACGGCAGACACATAAATACATGCGATACATATTACAAAAGAGGGCGAGAGGCTGCACAAGAGGTGTGGGATGCTGAGCGCGGCGGTTGAGTGCGGGGGACGAAGGTACTGGCGGTTGTAGGGCGAAATGCTCAAGCGGCAAGCGGCAAGCGACAAGCGGCAAGACTGGCCAAGCCAAGAGGAACAAGAAAAAGGTGTCGGGGTCTGTTCTCACCGCGGG